ACTGCTAAAAACCCCCCCCCATCAATCCCCAATACACCATTCCGGCAAGACTTACTGCAGCAGAGCCACCATCTCCGCTGCTGTTGTGCCCTATTCCCATCCTACCAGCTAGCCCCCTCACTGGTAGGACGTGTGATATCCTGCCGTCTCGCTCACACTTCAGGATAACAAAATGGTGAACTATGGCCCCAGAGACCAACAAATGCGATGGTTCTGCCTTCGTCATCGAAAAGGAGGTCCCCAGTATGTTCAGATGAAGTCAACTGACCACGACCGGTACCCATCGAGACTCCACTCAATGCCAATCGCATCCGTTCCCAACCATCCCCATCAAAACCACCTTCACCCTCCCCAACTCCGTCCTAGTAAAGAGTTCAGGAGACCATATTCTTAGCAAGAGCCAGACACAATCCTCAGCCTGCAATCTCCTTCCCCCTCGGAAATTCCAGTCTCCGTCCTCAAGGGGGTGAACCAGCGTTGCCTATGGCCAATCGCACCAGAGTGAACCCTCGTCGGTCGGTACCCCTCCGACAACCAAAGTTGCCTGACGCCAATCGCATCCAATGAAGGGTCCCCCAGCCAGTACCCCTCAAACGACCCTGATTCAACCCTCTCTCCTTCCTCACAAAGAGTCATCCCATGCCCTTTGCCCTCCGCCTTGAAACGATCCCCCACAACCCAACAGAACCTTCACTCGCCTGTCCCAACCCGGACCCCCATACAAATTAGCGAAATACTAAATCAAGATAAGATAGTACTTTTTTCGAAAGATCAATCAAACTAAGTGCAAAATTGAAAACAACATAGCATAAGAAAACAATCAAGAGTTACAACTTCGATAGACAAAACGTGGCAGTCAACTAATTTGATTAACAAACCTCAAAATCCGGTTAGAACAGAAACAAGAATCAAGAATATCCACTTAAGAGGATGAATTTTCAAAGTAGATTGAGATCAGAGCGAAGCTCTGATTTACGAATCTCCAATTAAGAATTATTCCCAAGAATCAGAAGCACAATGAGAGATTATGAATTTGAAGTCTCCAACTCCAATTCGTTACATATCCATAAACGGATTAAAGCATACTTGCAACCGCACGAGCCGCACATTCATGCGGAGTTCCGTGCGGGGGGTGCCTGTGGCGGAATCGTGCAGGTTTTCTATTTTTATTATTATTATTTTTATCTTTTTTCTGGGAGGGGGAACGGGAGGGCGTATGACAGGAAGATGGGGATATGGCGAGGAGAGGGGGATATGGAGAGGAGGGGGAGGATGTGGAGGAGGAAGAGGAGGATGTGGACGATGAGGACAAGGAGGATAGCGAGGATGACGAGGAGTCGTCGTCGAGATGGGGGGAGGAGAAGAGATGGACGGAGGGTCCGGGAGGGAAAGAGGAAGGGCAGGAGGAGGAGGACGAGTGGGAGGAGGAGGAGACATGGACGGCGAGGAAGTGGAGGGCACGAGGAAGGAGAGGACACGAGGAAGGGGAGGATACGAGGAAGGGAAGGAGACGAGGAGGCATGAAAGATTCAGAAAGTACAAGGAGGAGGAGGAGACAAGGAGGATGAGGAAGAGCAGGAGGAGGAGGACGAACGGGAGGAGGACGAGTCGGAGGAGATGAAAAGGAAAAAAGAGGAGGAGATATGGAGGATGAGGAAGGGGAGGAGGAGCAAGGTGAGGCAGTATTCCTGTAATTTTTTTTTCATCTCGCTTATAATTTTGGCGGGGGGCCTCAAACGCACCATTTCGACCCCGACCTTTTTTTTTTCTTCTGAGGGGGGTGACTGGCCGTTACCCGCAGTGCCCGCACACGTCGTGCGCCACACGAGATCGGTTGGGTGCGTGCGCCGCACGTAGGGAACCGCCCGCCCGGCGTGCACTTGCAAGACTTAGTATGGATTAAAGCAATAAAAAAACAATCAGAACCCTCAATTGAAATTCTAATACGCCACATCATTAGAATCCTATTATCAAGAAACAATCAAGAATCGTGAATTGAAATCATCAATGAAAAATCAACCTTAGGATCGGAAAACTAAGTTATCAGACATGATTAGTAAATTCCAAGTTATAAGATAGCCAAGCCACGCATGAGCTAAATCCCAATTCAGTAACAACCTCCCATCCCTTCTTCCTTAACACAACCACTTACCTCATACCCCGCAAACCTTAACACAACCACTTACCTCATACCCCGCAAACCCTAGCCCTGCGTCTTTGGGGAAGGAAAGGCTCCCTTCCTCCCACTGCTAGCGTCTAGGCTCAAAGCAAAGCTAACACCAAAGACTTGAACGGCCATCTTCAATACCCCAAAGGAAATCGAAAACAGTGTGGCACCCCCTTGCCAAACCTGTTGACGAGTCGCCACAGGGGATTCAAAACCAGCCTAACTATACCCTTACCATACCATACTGTTAAGGAAGAGGGAAGGGTTTACAAAAAAACGAGGACAGCAAGCCCCACCAAACCTAGTTCATAACAACAGCAACCCCGCACCCCCCTGCCAATCTCCACCACTCTCCTCCCCCCTCCCATGGATACTCCCCGTCACTATCCTACACACCCCTTCTCCTACCATGCGCCACCATATCACCGTTCCCCTCGTCGCCTGACTCGCCCGTACGTACCTTTCTCTCGCTTCGCGTCCTCGCCTCTTCGCCCACCGCGTCGCCTGGCTCTTCGATAGCGCAATAGCGGGGCGCAGCGCTCCCGGCCGCGATGCGCCCCACTTCCAGAACACCTTCTAGGTAGCAAACCGCCCCTGCAATCACGTTTGCGCTTCCACGTACGACAATGTTTCCGCTTCCCCGACATTCCTGGACGGGATCCGAGTTCCGTGGAGAGAAGCGGGATCCCAAATTTTGCCTAAAAGTGCCTGCTTATAAGAAGTGGGATCTGCCCCTAAGTCTTGAGAAAGAAAGAAGCTGTGTGTGCCATTCGGCCAGTTTTCCACTCTGCAAGGTTAGGGTTTGCACACATAGACACCTCCTGACGTGCCAGCTGCCTGACACAGGATACCCTTCAAAAAAACAGTCCCCAAAATCACACAGCAACCCAGTCTGCCTCAACGGTTTTTTTTTTTTTTTTTTTTTTTTTTTAAATCAACAGTTATCTCATCAGACAGTTAGGTTTCTCAAATCTGTGCATGGGTTCAAACCCCAACTACAACAGTCAACAGCAAACTTCAAAAAACTAATATTAATGTGTGTGTGTGTGTGTCTAGAGGACTCGTGAAAAAGCAAGGCCAAATGGTAATAACCCACCAAGGGACTTAGCTCAGTTGGTACTACACCCATAAACTATTGAAATGGAGACACAAGTTCCAGGGGCCTGGACCCACTAGCGAAGTATTCTACGATGTGTGATGCAATTTTATGGTTTTGTGGAAAATACAAAGTGATTTTCTATTTGCATGAATGGATCGTTTTCTGATTTAAAATGAATTCAAATAGCACATAAACTATGAAGAACAGCTGTGCAGCCGAATTCATGGGTTGGTACAATCTCCTTCACGTAAGTCTTCATAGTACTAATGTGCCGTGGCAATAAAATGTGTCCACGAACACAGCCACCAGGATGAACAAGTAATGGGTATGGGATACATTCATCCCCATGTACCTCATGATGCCTCTAACAGGCCATCCGACAGACGCGGGAGCTATCATGTCCAAGTTAGTCCAACTTTTTTTTTTTTTTTTTTTCGATGCATCTCATTGGACGGGAGGTGGGCATCTTTACAGTCCCCGCTCGGAAACTACCAGGCCGTCGAGATCCGATCTATTCGACGGCCGTACTGTGTCACTGGAGGCCTCACTCGAGGCCACACGTGATCGAAATACTGAACGAAGTGGTAGAATACTTCGCTAATGGGTCCAGGGCCCAGAACAGATGAATTATAAACATCTTTTAAAAAGGGGGAGAGTGAAACCATTATGATGATAACCCTTAAGCAGGGGACCAGTTCGCATAACATCATGATCATGGATGCTACTAGGACTTACGTCTGGTTACCTTTCCCGGACAGGAAACAAAAAAGGACTCGCCTCTGGCAGTGGTATGTTCTACGGTAGACAGCTCAGGGCCATGTACTGGTGGTTTAAAGCAGGGGACCAGTTCGCATAGCATCATCATGGCTGCTACTAACTGGTGGTTTAAAGCAGGGGACCAGTTCGCATAACATCATCATGGATGCTACTAGGAATCCAGTCTGGTTATCTTTCCGGGAAAGGAAAACAAAAAAGGACTCACATCTGGCACTGGTATGTTCTACAGTAGACAGCTCAGGCTGCACTGCAAGACAGCACTGCATCAATCCTTTTTTTTTTGTTTTTTTTGTTTTTTTTGTTTTTTTTGTTTTGAGAGTACAACCCTAGCCCATGCTAGGGGTGCTGATAAGAGCAGCCGGGACTCACGTCTGGCAGTGGTATGTTCTACGGTAGACAGCTCAGGCTGCACTGCGAGACAGCACTGCATTTATCTTTTTTGAGACAACTGCGCCTGTGACCGCTGCACAGTTCAGAATGCGCAGAAATAACCGTCAACTGCAAGCTTGGGCGAAGACCAGTTAGAAACTGCAAGAAAAACAGTAAATACTAAATCATGCGTTCGACGGCCTGCTGGTTCAATAATTGGCAAAAACGGGAGGTGGTGGTAGTGGTACCCCTCTTTTTCCCGTGGCCTGGCCTGGGAGCAGTTACCGGTAGCAGGCCCTCCCATTTTTGGCTCATTTCCCTAGGAGTGTGGCCTAGGCATCTCGGCTGTGGCCTAGACATCTCGGCCATGGCCCAGCCACAGGTGTGGCCTAGCCAGCTCGGCCGTGGCATAAGCAGGTGCATAAAAAAAAAAACAAAAAAAAAACAGCCACAGGTGCAAAAAAAAAAAATGAAAAAAAAGTTGCAGGCACGGAAAAAATAAAATAAAATGAGTGGCCGCCTGATTTTGCCACTTCTGAACTTCCAAGGGCGCACAAACTTTAAGCTGTAACAGTTCTGTTTTTGCAGTTTCTAACTGCCCTCCCTCGGCCCAGAACCACGGTGCCCTGTTATTCCT